AAAAAGAAAATTCAAGGAGAAAGTAAAGTGTATTATGTCTTTATTAATTAGTTTACCCTTGGTTCAGTCCTGTGTGGTTGGATGCTCCTGTTTGGTTCTTATGGGTTCTGAAATGCAGACAGAATAAGAATGATTCACAGTCATGTGCTTACTCAGGCAACAGGGCACTTTTCATTTTATTTGAAGAATTTACTGTTCTACAGCTTTTGTTTTAATTTACTGCAGTCTCTTACCTACCCTTGTGATTAGAAGCTACTTCTATTTCTACGTCTTTTGATGAATTTGTTTTTCTTCTTTCTTTCTCGCTTTCTTTTGGTCTTTCCCTAAGCTCTGATAACTTTGACATTTCTGTACAGGATATTTTCCCAACTTTCATATTTTCCAGATTGTTTATGCCATTTCAGGTGTAACTTATGAAATTCTGTCCCTTACAAGAGTAAGACTGTAGAACTTTACCTACTGTACATCTACTGATAATCTAAAGTATGTACTATCTTGAGACATTCCTTCCAAAGAGTAAACTTACATTTTGTAGATTTGTTTCAAGGGCAGGTCTGGGAACTGATAAATCTAATATTTGCACGGTCTGGTTGCCCTGGCAGAGACTATCTAGAAAATACTTCTTATGTTTGTCTTTTACTTAATGGCATGGGTTTAGATGTGAAGGTGGCTAGAATTCAGTAGTAAAATTCTGAGGGGTTCTTTTATGTTCTCTGGGCTCCTGGTTATTGTTTTCTGTGAAAGGTGTATACTGTGATGGTTGGTGTTTTTCTTTTCAACTTCCCTTTGGAATGATATGTGTCCTGTATGCCCAAATATAATACCCTTTCTCCCAAAGCTGGCAGGAGACCTTTTGTATTATAGAAACATCAAAGGAAAGGCAGCATAGTGCATCTACATTGTGTGCATTTGGCAATCATCTGAAGTGTTAGTGCAAAACCATTAGCATTAGTCCATCTGGGGGGAGACAGGAAACTCTTCTTGCCACTGAAAAGACATTGTACAGCTCAGGTCACACTAAACACTCTTGTCTTCTGGGTTATAGGAGCCACTCAAGTAGTCTTTGCAGCATGTGTAAGAATGCTCAGTCCCTTTCCAGGATACGTGATTTGGAAAGATTATGTACTAAGAACAAAATTTCATATTCTCCATTTTCTGTATTTTGTGTATTTTCTGACTATATATGTCATATTTGTACCAGGCCAATAGTATGAGTGATTACAGTTCAGATTCAGGATCTCAAATAATTCTTAGATCTGACTCATATATGAGGTTTTCGTTCTAATTTGTTGGTGTGACTGTTCTGTACAGTCACTATTTTTATTTTAATATTTAACTTCTACAAATCTATCATGTTGCAGTTACAGTGTGTAGTTTATTTCATTTTCCAGTGTAGAATTACACTACACTAGTATAAATGTTATTTTACCTTATGCATGCATTCATACTGGGGCACTGATTTTCTCTCATTACATTGGTGCAGTCTATGGAGTCCAGGAATTACATGCAGTTCAAGTTTATCTCTCTACCCTAGAGAAGCTGCACTTTATTTCCATGAGCACATAAAAGATCTGAATGAGATCCATACAATTATTCTGATCCTCCCACTTCAGTGTGCAGGCTGGAAGATTCTCATCTGTCCAAGTGAGAGCCATTACAGGGTTCATGATTATTATGAAAATGTAAGAGTTTGGTTACCTGGTGCTGCCATCTCATGTGTAGAAGGAAAAAAGAAGCACTTCATGGTCTATTTCCCATCCTTGATAAGGAGTAGTTCAAACACACAGTTTGGAACATTCCCCATAAGCATTTACTTTATTTCTACATCCAGCAATACAATTAGTATAATTTTTATCTTACATAGAAGTAGTTTCTGTCTAACCAGTGTCTCCTGCCAGTTGTTACAGCTGATGCTCTTAATTGTGGTTGCAAATGATGGTCTGTGTGGCTTTCTGTGCCAGACTGTTCCTTCTCTTGCTGATTGTCCCATGTCACACTTGTACTGTAGTATGCACCTGATGACTACAATGGCCTAATTCAGCTGAGCGATCAAGCCAGGAGTGTGTTACAAGCACCGAAAGAGTGGGTCTGTTTGTAACTCTTTGTAACTTCTGAAGAAGGTAAGATGTGACTGGCAGAGCCTGGGCCTCCAGAGGTGAATGGGAAGGGAAAGAAGGGCTTGGTGCTACAGAGATCTTTGCTTGTGGCTTTTCCCCATTAGTAGCTTGCATTGAGATCCTGGTGTTAGTCTTTCTGCTTCAAAAATCAACTAACCTAAAGAAATGTGCTGACTGTGATCTGTAGCTGATGGGGCAACAGTGGTGGAGGTAGTGTGATTGCCTGGTTCTGCTCAGATGGCGTGTTCAACTTCCAGAAGGCTTTGTTAATGCTTGTATCTCATGTGAACCTTTCAGTCTAACATTTTCCTTTTAGGAGAGTGGTAGAAGATGATTTTTCCCACTGATATTGCTAGAAAGTACACACAAATGAGTGTGCAAAAACCCCCAGACCTCTGGCTGTGTCTTTTCTGTACCATATAACTGGCTAGAGATTAGTACCTCTCTTTCTTGATTTCCCTAATGGAATGTGAACTATTACATTAGTTTTTTCAAAAGAGGTTTTTTGGGTATAGCAACTTTCTAAAGCAACTAATTAGATTTTCTAACAGTAAACTTGCCTGCATTTTTGCAACTTACAGATAATTCTTAAAGAAATTTTGTTATGGCCTATGTGGAGTACATGATGCCACAGTACTACTGTATTCCATTCAAAACGCTACCTACTAGTACATTTTGTTTTTACTTAAGAAAAAAGCCAAATAACCTTTCAGTTTAAAAATGATAATCACATACTGTGCCTTGAGAGAATGACTTTGATAGACAAATGTACTTTCAGTAACAACCATCAACTCAGTTGTTTTCAAATTAGTTATTTTCTGGTGTTGGATTTATAGAGAGCAGATAAACTGCATGGTCTGGTGATTAACTGAAAAAACAGATCAGCAATTGGTTTCTACTAAGTATGATATAGAAATCATTGACTGATTCGTGAAGTAGCTCAGTCTAAATTCTAAGTGGTACAAAGTAGTATTATACAGGTACTACTCTTATAGAGTAAGAAAAAGTCCAGGAAAAAGGTTAGTGTGAATCTGAATCTAATTTTAAAACACACATGTGCATACATAAAATCTATTTGTCTAGAAATATCTATAAATAAGAATTTAAACCCAGTATGTCTTAAAATGAAGCTGAAGGGATTCATTTAGCTCTTTTCATTATGTTGCTTGCTGAATGTATAGACTTCAATGCTAACTTTCTGTGCAACTCTTATAACATGAATTTCCAGATCCCTACATTAGTATTACACCAATACTGCTATTTAAACTTGTTTTAAAGCTCTTCTCTGTGTTCAGAGGTCTAACTGTATTCCATGTGTGTTTTCAGCTGACTCTGAGCTACAGTATTAAAGTTCTATTCTGGATTGATAGTAAATGAGTTGATCCCATATGGATTAACAGCAGAGAGTTGGTTTCAAGAAGAGCATCTTTTAGCTCAGACTTAGCTCAACCCAAGTTGTGCACAGCTTTCTCTGTGAGAGAGGGTTACTCTGAAATAAACCAAGATTGGTTCAAAACTAGAAGCTCTAGTCTTTAGACATGATGTTTTAATCTGTTTTTGGATTTCTTTCTGCATGCTATATCTTGACTAACTTTAGTTCTCTAAGAAATAATAGAAAGTTACTATTGACTGTCTTATGCATGCTTTCGGTTTGTAAAGTGTCCTGTTGCTTATATTTTAAGAATATTTTTACTGCCTGCTCAGTGTTTGGGTGAGTGAAGCTCTGGCATCCACTTGCTTTATTTTCATATGTTTGAATGTCAAGCTGATATATGATACATATGATATATGATATGAATGAAATGCTATTGGTAATAACTGAGAAGTCTGCTATTTCTTGTAGTATACCAGACACACATAAATTCTACAGAAATGAAACACTTAAATGTTTTAACCTTTTATAAACTCAAGAGCACATATGTCACATGAACGTAACTTGAATTGTGTTAATATTCATGAAACTGGTTGGTTTTCCAGCATAGCTTTGTCTGACACTCTTTTTCAAAGAAAAACTAACCTTGTATGCTGAGCTTTTGATCCTTCAGTCTCTGATTTTGAAACTTCTCTGGGATTCATTTTTATCCAACAACCAGGAGCTCCAAACTTAGCTTGGAAGAATTTTCTGCATCTTATGGAAAATGGATGGGGTACAATAGGGCTGACAGTGATGTCTGCTTTGAACTCAGCAATTTGGAGCTGCTTTTTAAGACTTTATGAGGGCAAATGCCATCAAAAGTAAATCAACTCCAATGACTAAATAATCTCATCTGCTAGCCTGCATTTTCTTAGCCTTGTTAAAATTACAATAAATATTTAATTCAGTTGCACTGCAAACAAATTTCACTTAATTTTTCTGAAAAATCTACCTGTGTTGAGTTCAGCTCATTCTCCCAACACAGAACTTATACAGCTTTTATTTTTTTGCATGTGTGTTGTTACTTGGTTTTTTAAACTGTGTGTGAGTATTGACATGCTTTAATAGCCTTTGTCACTTGGCCAGTAGTCCATACAGTACAAGAATTATTCATGCGTGGACTTCTTGCTCCATTCAACTCCTATTAACATCTAACTCTTTCCTTTTATCATCCTTTAATCTCAATTGCTTCTCTACCAAAATTTTTTGCATAGAATTATGCCTACATTGCTGTATTCAGCACACCAGCAGAATAAGAGCTGCTGCTGTTTGCCAGGCTAAAAGCTGGATTTCCTTTCATCTTTGATTCCTTCTCCTTCCCATTCTTAACATCAGGATATTTTCACCATGAACATAGGAGTGGAGTGAGCCAGATGCACTAAAAAATACACCAGCATTAAAAACTGCATTTCCAGGTGTTGTCTCTGGTCTTAATAGCTTTTTTCTTTTGTCTTCTTGTACCACTGCAGCTCCAAGCAGATTCCATCCTCATGCTTTACAACTTTAGTGGCCAGCCCAGTGGCGAGGCATTGGTGACTTTTCCAAGCCTGGATCTAGCTAAGAAAGCAGTGGCTGAGAGAAACGGACAGCTCCTGGGAAGCCGCTGTGTACAATTGTACCTGGTCTAAATGAACACTCTCTGGTGGATGAGGAAAGGATGTTGCACTCAACACCGTGCCTTTTGCAAAATAAGTCTTCCCTTGCCACCCAGGCAGCAACAAATGTGCCTTTTCAGCATAACGTGTTGGAATGCAGCATGGTGCATGTCCTTTTTAATTTGAAAAATGGCATCTCCTATGCCAAAGGTAAAGTGAAACCAAACATTATGTAGTTAATTTACTTAATTTCTAACGTACCTGTGTAAAAAGAAGCAAAGCTGCTCCTGGCATGTAGTTAATTCTGAAGACAGTCCAATTGCACTTCAGCTACCACAGCCGCGGGCAAAACTTAGTAGCATTTGAAGTGGAAAACGATGCTTGAGTCATTCAGATTCTTCTGTGTTTAGTTTTTAAGAGTTTACACTTGACAAAGTGTCTCGTTCTTGTAGAGTTTAAATGTCTTTAGAAAGGTCTTTTGGAATGCATGGCTTACCCAGTTCAAAGCGTAGATCATATTGATTTTTGTTTTGTTTTGTTCTTGACTGGAAAATATCAGGATGCTGGATCCTGAATGAAATTGTGCTTTTTCATGTTTTCATTAGACATTGTTTCGCAAAAGCCATATTTGATCTTCTTACCAGTGTACTGCTGCCAATGTATAAAGCAAAAAAAATAAAAACAACAGCAAAACCAGAAAAATCTCCTCCTCCTACACATAACTCCCTGCCCCAAACCCCAAATCTTTTAATCTCTACAGGACAAAAATGGCACATAAACCTGAGTACTAATAAGTTATATTTTTTTATTTAAGCATAATAGCTTTCAGATACTGTATTAAAGATTTTGCTCTAGTTTATGTGCATGCAATTTGTTTACATCTTTAAACTACTTTATTTGTATATTATGAAACAGCAAGATATGTTGAAATCTGAATTCTCTAGTGCATGCTTTTTTTCTTTTTTCCCCTGTGTGTATATACATAAGCTAGAAGTACTTTTATGTCATGTAGCATGTGTTTAAAAAAAAGACATCTGCTGTAGAAGCACTAAATTACTTTGTTTTTACTGTGCCTTACTTCTAAACCATTCCAAGTGCAATACCAGCAGAGCAAAATGTAATTAATTCTGTTGTTGACATGTTCATGGATGTCTGTATTGATCTTTTTTGTTAGTGTACAATTTGAGTTGTACTTTAAAGAACTGAATGATGTATGCTTCTTTATATTACAATAAATAAAAGAGATGCTTACGATGTGCATTGCCTTTTGAAAGTAACTTATGCTTTGGTTTAACATATTTTCACAGAGCATCAGTCTTTGATAAATAGCCTTACACACTTTTCTCCTAGATTTAGATGAGCATTTGTACTTTGTGCCAGCGGTGTGACGTCTTTTTTGGGGGTTGTGGTGGGGTTTTTTTATGGTTTTTTGTGAGATGTTTTTGTTTTCTTTGTTTTGTTTTGTCTTTCTGCATGTTCTAGTAAGGCAGAAATCTGTATGACGCTTGCTTCTCTTGTAGTGCAACACATTTTAGGCAACATGAAGTAACTGTTTACATGTTTAGTGTTCTCTTTCTGTTGCCAGAGGAAACAAAGTATTGAACTTGAAATTGTGTTCATGTTTGCGTTTAATTGACCTAATGGGTCATTTGCTTTTCTGTGCAACCCAAAATGCTACGTTTAAGTCAAGATAGAGCCAGTCAGCCTTTTTGTAGTGAAAATGGAGAAAGGGGATGAAATCATATCAAGATAAGAGGGTCTGTTTCTCTCTAGTCAGACACATCTCATGCCAGATACCAGTTCATCATCAAAACCTCCCAAATTAAGTTTCAGCACAATCAGGTGGGACTGCAGGGAAAGATTTTTCATTATTTTTAAGTGGAAGTGTCTGCACTAATCTGTTTCCAATATTTGTCTTGGTGAAGTCTACCAAAAATCTTACTTTTAAAGTAATTTGAATAGTATAAAGGATTGCACAATGGTAATTAACATTCTCATTGTGCCTTGGAGGAAAATTTAGTAGCTGTGTAGTCCATTTATTACACACATTTATTACAGTCTGCCATAGTCCGGCTGGTCACGACTTTGCAGGCTGTTGAAACATTCTCATTTTTCCTCTTATAAAACCCGTATGGAATTTGTGGTTTTCTGCTTCCTTGGCAAGTTGAGGCAGGGCTGGAATGGCGAGCCTCGGTCGCATCAGCGATGCTTAGATGTAAACATTCCCCTGCTAGTTTAACACCTTTATGGCTTAGTTGGCAATGATCACAGTTCTGCTTTGGAGTGCAGCTCCATGCCCACGTCACAAACTGCAAACAGGCTCTGCCATGTGCAGAATCTGTACCTATCACTCACTGCTGTTTTATTCTCTGTTTAGCATGAGATGATGGAAACCTGTTGTAGAAAATGAGCTTGGGGATGTTTCAGGCTGTGGCTTTGTGTGTGAACCCTGACACACGGGACACGGGACCAGTGCAGTTTTTCGCAGTTATCTGTGTAAAATGACTGCACGGGCAGCGGCAGCATTTTGGGTAGACCAAAGTCCTTTGGGTGGGGGTCTGACAAGAGACCAGGCCTGGGGATGTTCTTCTTCTGAACTTTAACTTTCTTGCTCGTACTGAAAATTCTGTGGTCTTGCCTAAAAAAAGAATAAAAGAGAAAGCAATAAAGGGGACCTTTATTTAAAAACGAATGCTGCTGGCATAGAGCGGTGGCTGGGGCAGCAATCCATCAGGATCACAGAATATTCTGCGTAGGGAAGGACCCACAGAGACCAAATGCCCCCGTAACGTTAGAGGCCCACCCGGGAATCGAACCCGCACCTCGGCGCTATCGGCACCACGCTCTGACCGGGGGCTGATCCTGTGAGGGGACGGTCCCGGCCGGGCCCCCGGCCAGCCGGGAACCAAACTCCGCCAGTGCCGCTTGCTCTGCTCGGTTCTTTGGCTCGGTAACAGCGGTACGGCCGTGCCGAGCGCTCCGGTCCTCCCGGAGGTTCGGCTCCAGGGCCAGAGCGGCCGGGCTGGGCCCACTCTCGGCCTTTGAAGTGTGCTGGCACCGCCCGAGGCTTTGCGCCTCAGCTGTGGGGCTGCGCCGGGCCCTCAGGGCAGGCAGGGAGCCCGCGGCCGCTCAGGGTGCCCACGCTGACCCCTCACAGCAGCACGAGCCACAGGCAGCGCCCCTTTGGAATTTGGCTGCAGACCCTTCATAGCTGATGGGCTCGCTGCAAGTCCAAGAGCTCTCCTTCACAAATAGAAGATAAATACTTGCATCACACATGTTTGGATGATGGCTTTCATCACTGGAGAAGGCTGGGAGCTTGGGGTAAGGCCTAAGTATTTTTTTGTTCTTTGATGAATGCATTTACTCATTGTGACTGACGTTTTAGACTATGCTGTGTTGCAAAGCCTTAGAAGAATAGCATGTCGATTAATAGAAAAATTAGAAAAGCGTTAAGCTTTAACTGTTTCACCAAAGAAGAAGTAAAGTTTGGTAAAGTACTCTGATTTGACTATTACTGTTGTTAAAGAAAAGGTCCTCACACTCGGCCACAAAATTTGATTCTTAAAAAGAAGTTTTTCTCTGCTTGCAATCAGCAAACTCCCTCACCTGCACTTGTGTTGCCATTTTGTGTAACTGAGGAACAGAGTTACCATTGTTTGTATTTCTACTCCTAGTTTCACACTTCTGATAGTGCTGGTTTGGAGGTTCATTTAGTTGTTTCTGCTGCCATTCTCTCGATACTGGTAAATTCACTTAGGAATGATTCCTATGTTGGCCTGTCCCATGGGATATTCCTGCCCAGCTTAGAGAGAAGATAGCTTATTCTTATTATATTTATTGGAGATGAGACTGAAGAGTTTGAAGTGGCCACTCTCTTTCAGAAGTTGCAGCTGTGCATCCAGATCAGGTGTTTCTTGGTGTTTCTTCATTTGCAGAGCAGACTTGCCCAAGACGAGCTTATAAGTTTTGCTTGTTTCTGTGAACTAAGATATTTTCAACAATTATTATATTACTGAAATTCTATTCCTCATTTTTTAAAAAAAGAAAAAAAGATTTTCAGTGCCTTCATTTTTGAAATGTATTTGTTATATTTCATTCAGTTAAAATGAGCTGCTTCTGAAGGCTGGCAGTTTAACCTTTTGGGTCCTGTCTTATATAAAATTCTATTTGGCAAAATCTGTTATATTTTGAGTCTACCACTAGAAGTGTCTTCTAAAAGATGATTTTATCTAAGGAAAGCTTGAAATATTGTAAAGCAGAAAATTCCTGCCAAGGTTTGTCTGTAGTCAATTTAAAATTTCACCTTTTTAGATCTTCTTGTTATAAAGATTTTTTTTAAAAAAAATCCAAACTAAACCAGAGACTTGATTTTCCCCCCTTTTTTCTTTTTATATCATCAGGTAATACTGTATTATTTAGCTGGATATACAGTTGAAATGTAAATATTCAAATAAAGATGACAGCATGTTAATTTAGACTTGCTAATTGAAATTTCTTTTATGCTATGTTATTATAATAGTTTTACTTTAAATACATTTTTTTTAATAGCTGTTATTTGTTGCTTTCTGATGTGCTTGCTAATAATATAAAGTTGACATTAAATAAAATGCCTTCCCTTTTGTAAACATTACTAAGGTGCTGCTGTAATTTTGCCGGTTTCATGTTAGCCGAGTCTTTGAGGGAATATCTTTAGCCGCCGGTAGATGTCCCCTTTCCATCGGGGTTCGCAGGAAGGGCTGGGAACACCACAGCTTTGGAGCCGGGAGCTCCCTGTTAGCAACTGCAGCAGGAGCTTCAGTGCCTGCAGTGCTCTGGCGTCCCTTAGCCTTAAAATCGGAGGTCATTTTGCTGCTCATAAAAATGTTGACTTAAGTTGGTTGTGTTTGTTTGGGTTTGTTTTTTTTTTTTCTCCTTCTTCTCAAATTTGTCCTTGTTTTTCTACTCTAAATGTTTTCTGTGAGTTCATTGATATTCAATATGGTTGCTTTGAAATGTACAAATTGATTTCAAATTGTGAAAATCACAGCTGTATCTGACTGCGTTTAGTCGGAAAAAATTAACTTTTAAAAACAGCTCTACAAAAAGAAATCCATAAAATGGTTGCTAGAAACCCAGTGGCAATGATTGGACAAATGGCGTGCTTTAAGTGTCACCCCAATTGTAATCATACTGCGTTAGACCAAAAATGAAAGAAAAATTACTCTTTAGTCTTCTGGCTTTAGGAAAGGAAACCGTAGATGAGCATTATGATGTCAGGGCTTTCCAGCGGATTACACTTTGTAGCGAGAAGCGGGCGCGCAGCGCGGCTGGAGCAGCCTTTGCTGCTGCTGCTGCTGGCTCCGCTCTGCTGCCGGGCAGGGCAGGGCTCCTCCCGGAGAGCTGCTGCTGCCTCGGGCTGCTGGCTCGGGCCCTCGCTGCTGGGGGCTGTAAACTGCTCCTGGCAGAGAGCTAGTTGGTTGTTCTTGTTGGTTTTAATCCTCGTCTCTCGGGGCATTTCCTTTGGTTAACTGGGAGTCTTTGGGAATTCTCCTTGTGGGGGATCCCGAGAGGTACCCACTCACGCTGTGGTGTGCAGATCATACAGAAGAAGGAAGCGTAAAAACGGGGAGAGGTTTTTAATGTTCAGTATTAGATCTTGAGTTGCTCCAGCACTTGCCACATTTTGGGACTGCCTAATTTTTTCACTAGAAATTGTAAAGGGGGGTTTAGGGGGGTTGCATATCAATAGTTCTGCTATTTAGAAAAAGGAGCAAACTTTCTCACCCACAACCCTTAACCCTCAGACATGGGAATTGTCTTTGTAAATTTCTGTTGCTTTGAAGTCTGGGAACATTAAATAGGGCCTTCTACTGCTCCTAGACCTTCTAGGACATTCTTCTCTTGCTGAGCAATAAATGAAAATAAGAAGAATATGTTGTATTTCATTTGGGAAAGCAGCTTTTACAATAGACCTGACGAAGGTGCAATTGTTCTGGTTTGTACCAATGTCCTGTACTGGTCCCTGCCTTCCCGCTTAGCTGTTACAACATTGTAACTTTTGAAAGGGTTTTTTTGTTGTTGTTGCTATTTGGTTCTAATCATTCCTTGTTATCAGCACTTTATCTTCTGCTTGCTGGAGGTAGGGGAAAAGTTAATGTGCTACTGCAATAGATAATTTGTGTGTGTATATTCCCTTCTAAAATAACTTGAGAGGTTTGAATTTCATGCAAATGTAACTTTAAAAATTTGTATTACTGTGCAAAAATATTTAAAATCTTTACTCTGGGCACACTTAATAATACTTAGAAGTATGTAAGAGCAAAATGAAGGAAATACTGCTTTATTTCCTCTTACTACTGCCCACAAGAATAGATGAGAGATGGAAGGAAGCAACAGAATAACTGAGGAGAAGAAAAATGATGCATTTTTGGGGAGGGAGAGCCTAATTAGAATTTTCCTTGAGAAAATCCAAAATACTGATAGTGGTTTATTGGAAAAATCTCTGTTGTGTGCAAGGGAACAGCATTAGAATTTAGCTGTCTTTGCTGCATTGAATAAAAGCTTTTGGGCTTGTCAGAAAGAGTAAGATCTTTTCCTGCTGTTTTCTGAACTTATTCAGTTCAGGGGATCTCTCTGGGACTGCTTTCAGTAGGAATGGAAGGCACATGAAGTTCTGCTGTGGGAGAAATGCAAAGGTGTGGTGGAACTGCACAGTTCAAAGGCTGGCAAGGAACAGGTCCCTCCTCTCTCTGGGCAGGGCATGAGAGGTTAAAGTGAGGAAAGGACTGTCTGAGCCTTATCAGGAGTGTAACATTTGTCACTACAACTTAGTCCAAGGAATTCTTAGTTAAACATGCCCTGAAAATGTGGGACTCATTCCCATTGGATTAGGTGTGCCTTTCTTTTGTTTGATGCAATGCAGTCCTTGTGCAATTGTGAGCTTTACTGTGAAAATCCACACAAGCTACACTGAGTATAATTGTAATAATAACATTAAAATAAAATGTCCTTGAAGAAGTCAGGACTTCTATTTATTGATTTATTTGGTTTTGGGGTGGGGTTGGTTGGTTATTTTGTTTTGGTTTTGTTTTTGGTTTTTTGAAAGGCAATGCAAAAACTTAGAAAATGATTAGTTTTTCCTTAGTTTTTACTGACTAGAGGTCTATGCCTGGGAATATAAACTGTCAGGTTGCTTACAATGCTATGTGTGTGTGTGTGTGGTGTTTACCTTTTAAATTGTTCTAAAACATTTTATCAAAAGTCAGGTACATCATGTTCTTGATGGGATCTAGAGCACAGGTTGGATGATGATCTGCAGGCCATAAGGAGATTATATCCTGGAGTTAGAGCTGGAGTTACACCTGGTAGTGCTCATTTCTCTTGCTTGTGAGGAGGAGAAGGCTTATAAGAATGGCAGGTTCCATATTTTCAATGAAATGTGGCTTCTGCTTATTGCTAAAGTCAATCGTTTTGTTCAGCTTAAATATATTGGTGATTGATAACAGAGTGTCAGTGGTAATATTTAAAGTGACCTGATCTTACCTTGTAAAAAGTAAGCCCCCAGAAAAGAAAGGATTCCAAATTTTCAGGTTATGGGGACTGTTTTGGAGATGATTTGGAGAAGAAAGAAAATGGTAAGGCTATGGACCTAGACACTGGTGATACATCCCAGAGAGTGTGCTGACAACAGAGGAGTCTGTGAATGCAGTGAGGGCAATATTTTGGGTTTGTGCATTGTTTGGTTTGGTTTTTTTTCTATTCTGTTCACTGGCACCAGGTTCCACCAGTGATTCCTCTTCAGATACAGCTACTCTGGCAAAACAGCACCCTGCTGCTGCAGTGTGGGACTCACTGCAGAGACTGGAGCTCTTCCAGTTACAGAGCAAGTCCAGTGTTGGATATTGTAGCTTCCAGAGGCTGTGCAATGACCAGGATAATGACTCTTTTAATGGTTTAGGAGATGGGATGATTTTCTGACCTGTTTTGAACAGGAAAAGCAGGTTTCAAATGTGCTGAGGAGGCAGCATCAGCCCACACTGCTGGCAGGCTGGGATGAGCCAGTGGCAAAGGACAGCACTGCTGGCAGACTGCCCTTGGGTTAACTCTGGGAAACCACAAACACAAAAATCAGTCAAAGTGCATTGCAGATTGAACTAAAGCAGCTTTGAGCTGGGCAGGTCCAGAATCACCAGCAGGCTCAGCTGAGTGCAGCTCCATTGGGCAAACAGGAATGAAGTTCCCAGCACAGCTCTGCTCATGTTGCTGGTCTCATGAACTGTGGTCACAACTGATTACAAGTTATAGACTCTAGAGTTTTTTGAGACAATTAGGATAAAC